TCCTGCTGATTTGAATGTTTCTTACTTACCTATTTTGCCAATAAGGTTGTGAAATTGCTTCTTGTATAGACCTTTCGTGAGTGTATGAACAACTTGTTTGGTTGTTGGAATGTTTGTCATGCAAATCTAGTCTTCATCAATCCGTTCTTAATAAAATGCTGGTCAACTTTTAAATGTTTTGTTGTCATGAAGAATGGGTTTTTTGTGATGTTGAGTTTGCTGCCTTGTTCTCATTGGAAGTCTTCACAAGAGATGAAATGTAAATTTTTTGATCTCGAACCCTCTTCGTGTGTATTGCTTTAGACATTCCAAGAACAAGGGCTCTAAATTGTGACATAGCACTAAACCTGTCAAGTAGCAATCTAGTTATTTTATTACTTCTTGTAATGAGAAGAATCCTAGCAAGTAGCAACCTAGTCATTTTATTACTTGTTGTAATGAAATTCCTTCGATGAATGCTTTTGCTGCCCAATCTGCGTTATTATGGCTTGAACTTCGAGATGTTTTTGTCTTCTTAATAGTAACCCCCTTTCATGGATGAAAATAAGCCACCGAATGAAGCAGTTGACGAAGTCAAACCTAGCAGACGAACTCAAAGATGTCGTCTAAGCCTCGTGATGCAGACGAAATTGATCATCACATATCAATTGAACGAAGACAAACGATGCAACAAAGCTGAACAAAGCAATCGACGAAGTTGAATTGGAAGAACGAGAAGCGACACGAAGCAGATGACTCGCTCGAGACGAAAAGGAGCGATGCAGACGAAGCTGAATGTTGCATATGATTAGAATGATGAATGATGACCTATTCCTGTCGTAGGATGAAGGCGAAGTAGAGAACACTGTGCGTGGCTCTGATGCCAAGTGACAGGAAAATTGTCTTTTTACTCATTCCTCAATTGAATGCTTTTGTTACATATTTATATACACTTTTATCTCTGTAGATTAGGAATATCTCTAATATTGATTAGATCTTATTACTCGTACTCTTCTAATTAGGGTACCTAATATCAATCTTCATAATAAACTAGCTTTAGATTTAGTACTTTTCATAACAATTTTGATCCCTTATTTCTGTGTATATATTTTAAATCTTTGATCACCATACAGAGTCACCAATATTGTTGGGAGTTATTGGATATATTCGATTTTATACATAATTAATTTGGTGCTCCTTTTATTTCATGCTCTTAATTGGCTTTATCATTTGGTCCATTGTCCTATGTATATTTTGAACCTCAAGCTTAGGAAATTTAGATTATTTCTATATAAACAATTGTTTGTGCATGTTAATTAGACAACTATATGTATTAATTTGATATTTATGCAATCATGGGAAGGTTATGTGCAATTATTAATAAGAAAAAAATGGCTTATTCCAACATAATATATATGCAATCATTGTGTACGTTTAATTTAGTAAATATTTATCCTTATTTTGTTTCAAGGTTTGAGATTAAGATTAACATGATTGATTTTTATTTCTGAACCTATACATCGAAATTTTTTGAAAAATATTTCTTGTAGAAATAATGATTGCGAAATCGTTCAAGTAGAATGAAACTGATCTTTTAAACATCGAGGCGGTGTGTAATGGTAGCATTTCATTAGAAACTCCAAAGTTAAGCATGCTTGTCATGGAGCACTCTTGGGATGGGTGACCTGAGAAATTGCAGCGACGGGACATAACTATGAGTCTATTTGGCCAAAGCGGACAATACTTTGATGGGCGAGAGTTTGGGCTGTCCTAAATGATATCATAGCACAACACCAGTTGGAAGATAATAACTAAGTGTCATGCAAAATAAAGTGGTACACTATGTGAGCCACCTCTTGAACCCAGGTAGGGAGAAAGTGCTAGATGGTGGGAGCCACCTCTTGAATATGTAGGGCCACTTCTAGAATGCAATCTGCTTAGTGGATGATTCTGGGATACGAGAGACTCAACTATGTAAGTAGGAAAGATTATGAAATCTATATAGTAGAATGAAGTTGAACTCTTTAAACTTTGAGGCGCCTTTTGGTGTAACGGTAAAATTTTATTAGAAACTCCAGAGTTAAGCATTTCATAGAGCACTCGGATGAGTGACCTTGGCCAAAGAGAAGAGTTTGGGCTGTCACAACGATTTCCATCAATACCGTATTCTAACTTTTTCTCTTTATCTTTCACTAAACACACTTTACACAGAGATCTATATTCGTGAGTTTGGGCTGCCTCAACGATTTCCATCATGAACATAGTTTAACATTCTCTTTTTATCTTTCACTAAATACAAACCTTACACACCAATGTGCGATATATATTCGTGAACCGCCCTTGAACTTTTCAGTGGATGCTTTGATCATATTATCTTATTTTGTCTAAAGGCTCATGAGACGTACTTTCACGAAGAGATTATGAGGCTTGCTCAAGGATTTAAGAAGTGTTTGTCAGAAAAATCCATTGATAGTGCTGATTTTACTTATAAGTATTACAATTTATCATTGAAATTTCTTACTTTAATATATTTGTGTAATTCTGTCAATATAAATGCTACTTAAAAAAAAAAAAATAGAACTTGATGAGAGCAACAAGCCCCTTACCTTTGTAGAATTTATTATTAGAAGTTGTAAATATATTATAGGTTTTGTCTCTTGTTTTTAGGCTTTGAAAAGTATAATTTGTAATATTCCCTCTCTCTTTAATTTTGTCATTAAGATATGCATTATTGCAAATAAGTCTATATCCTTCATGAGGCATAACATCTGTTGTTGTAAAAGGATCTCGTTTTTGAATTTCAGTGTATTATTTTGATACAACATTATGTGACAAGTTAAACTTATTCATCTCTTTTACAAATCTATATTTGGCTCATTTAATAGATGTAATTATTGTTTTGATTATTTTGTCTTCAGAGAGATACTGAGAAAATATATAAAAGACTCGGTCATCTAAAATCGAGGAGTTATAATTCACCAGACTCTGGACAACGAGATGGTTTCTTTGGTTTGTTCGGGAAAAGGAAGAATTTAACAGAACATTATTCCAGGAGGTTGGAAGATCTAGAAGAGAATGTGAGACTACATCAATCTAGTTCTTCTGCAACTGTAGAGGTACATAGAGTAATTGATATTGATCTGAAACTTGAATTTCTTTTTTTATGGATTTTTGCACTGTTTTATACCTTTTTATTTTATTATTATATTAAGATCACTAAACACCATGTCATTAGTTCATTGCTAATTTTTTAAACGGTTTGTTAGTAACCGGTAATTCTTAGGAGTTGATTTATTTTTCGTTCTATCTAAGAATCTTAGAATTCTGAGACTTTTAGTTGTTTATGGCATGAACACAGTTCTTCTTATATATTTAAAGACTTTCTTCTTCTTTTTTAGATTTTCATCCTAAATTGAATACGAATAATTTTAGGGGCATTTACATACATACCTTATAATTCTGATGTAATTACAAATCTGACACCTAAACTTTCATATTTACATACATTCCATTAAAATCCTTAGCATCACATAAAAAAATACCACACTTACTAACTTTTTAAAAGTAAAATATGCCTTCTCATGCATTTTTTTTGTGACACCAAAGTGTTACAAGTGTAAATCTTCAACTTTGGGTGTTATACATGTAAATACAAAAAAATTGTATGGTATGTATGTAAGTTGTCCCATTTTTTTAAGATGATTTTTCTCTTCATTTAGATGGGAGACTTGTTTTTTTAGAAAAACTTTTTTTTTGCCAATTTTTTTATTGATTTTCTCATTTTTCTTTTTCTTCAATGTAATCCTTACCCCATTTATCACCAAACTGCACTTATATAAATCTTCTACACTTAATCCCTCCAGCTTGTATTAATATTTTTGTTTTTTGATCCCTTTCTTTAAAACAACCTTGTAAGCCTCTTCTCCAGGACACTCCCAACCTCAGAATTAATACCTTCCATCAAATCTCTCTCATCCACAAGCCAGAGACTACAATTTTAATGAGCTTGAGCCTATTGACCTCCACATCTCTCCACATATAACAACTCTTATCACTCGTCAGTGTTTGAGCTTGGCTTACTTTAGGTCAGTGACCTAGAGCCAAAAGTCCCAACACTAGGTGACCCGTGTATAATAAAATTCCTCTCATACAAATAATTCCGGTCTTCCCTCTTTTGATAACTTTCTCGTGCACAAGTACAATAGAATAGTTTAATTGTTTTTGATCTATCGTTAGATTGAATCAAAGACTTCACATCATCAATTTTTAGTTCGATTTGGTTTTGAAGACCATCCCTTTGCTTGATCATTGGTGCATCATTGCGTTTCCTTCATTAATGTTTGATATGAATGAATGGAGTGATGGCTTTTCACAAAGGACTATATATGATCAAAAGTTTGATGATGACTTCTGTAGTTTATTTACAAAAATCCTTTATATGAAAAACCTAACCATATTTTAGGTAGTTTTGGTTTCCGATTTGAGAAATTTACATATGTTGATGTGGAGCTGTAGTTTATTTACAAAGATCCTTTATATGAAAAACCTAACCATATTTTAAGTAGTTTTGGTTTCCGATTTGAGAAATTTACATTTGTTGATGTGGGGCTGCTTCTATGACAGACCCTTGTTCAACAAGGGAGCTTCCAATTCCCTGTTGAACTGGCCGACACTAATTAGGGCTAGGAGGATGACTGCTTCCTTTTCCTTCTTTCTAGTTATCTTAGTTTATTATAAAAATGTTGTTACTTAGTTTTAAGGTTCATTTTTTTGTTGTTTGAGAATTATGTCCAGCTTGCCTTCAGTGGCAGTTTTTTGGGTCTAGGGCTGTATTCAAAGGCGAGAATGTACTCCGATTATAACTTATCCGAGGTGTTGACCATCTTCATGGGTCCAAGTGGTGCTTCGATTGTAGCTCGATTCCGCAGGGATATTGGTCCTTCCTAATTTCCCTCCGTAATCTTCCCTTAAGCTTACATGCATCCAACATAGCTGCCAATCTAACTGTTCCACCCGCAAACCGTCCTACAACCACCTTCAATAACGCAAACCTTCACTTTTCCTTTCCCCCTAACTGCTCCACTCACAAAACTGCCTACAACCACTCTTACTACCTCACACTTGCATAGGCTGTCTCCCCCCCCCCCCCCCCCCCGGGTTCACGCCTCCCTCTCAATCGTGACTCCTATAGTAGTAGTAGCCACAACCCTCCTCGCTATTACAACCACAACAACAAACAACTCCCCACCTACACCCCTTGTTGACCTCAATTTTTGTGAGGTCTAGTCTTCCGTTTAGGGTTTAGGATCTAGCCTTAGGAATCTCCCTTCGACTATCTTAGAACCTTAGAAGTGGGACCCGCCTCGTTTTAGTTCGACCCGCTTCCGTCCTCTTCTGGAGTTTCGCGTGTGTGGTATCAACTTCTAGCACTTAGAAGGATGAAACCAACATGAG